AGCATACAATTATAAATATTTGAATTATATTTTTTTAGGGAAATCCGTACATTTTCTACGACTATTTATTTAGTTAACATGAGTCTTAAAATACCATTTTTTTATTTCTTATTGATTCTTTATTTGTTACATATGGAATTCAATAGATCCAAGTATTCATATAAGTAGAGATCACTTTTCTTAGCGCCTGAAAGCATGAAAATATGTATATCGTAAATAAGGTAAGGAATGTAATTTCAGGTAAAGCCCTCGCTATTGACGGTGCGAGACTGATAACATAGTAGAAGGTGCGGGCAGAATTCAAAGCGGCACAAGCGCAGCACATTGGATAAAATTGTAAAATTTAAGTTTACAAACCATTAGTTAGCATTTATATGTATGTATTTTTTATTGTATACCTACCTTTACTAAAAATTATCTAGAACTTAAATAGAAGAACTTAAGAATAAAGAAACTGAATTTTAAAAATAGTATCCTCTCATCCCTTCAACTTCAACATCCCTTCAAAAAAGACTAGCTTTCGTTGTGACCCTAGCTTAGCTTTGTTGTGCTCTTAGTTCTATATCAGCTTTTGCGTCAAGGTTAATAAGTTTTAATATAGCTTCTCTCATGCTGATAGGCAATAACCTGTTAACTGCCTCGGTGAATGTCTTGGGTTCGGGCCCCAAGTTGTGTTACATACTCGCGCCCCAGAAGCACGTAAAGCCGCCGGTCTTGCGACTTTACTCTAACCGGTCATGTCAAAATATCATCCCCAACGGACTTTAAAAAGGAATAGAGTGTAATTATGTCTGCCCGAACACTTATGTACTATAATATCTTCTGCGCAGTTAACTAGTCTCAGGGTGATTGGCCAACGAAATTGGTCAGGAGAACATCGTCATTCATGGTCATGAGTTGGTTTATTTTAAAAACACATATAATATCAGTTGTAAGAATTCCAAATGGTGGTTACCCAAGAAGTTCGAGAGGAATAGCACGTTCGTTTACATAGCCATAGTTTACCAATGGGCAAGATATCTTGTTTGGTTAAAGTACTCAGGTATTGAGCGGTGTAGCAGAAGCTATTAAAGGTACATATTATAGGCAAAGACAAGGATGAAATAGTAGGGCAATAATTCAAAATGATATTTTATAATTGTATATGACATACGGAAAGAAAATTTCTGTCTTCCTCCGTAATGAGCTGAACTAACGAAATACGACGATTAACTAGTTTAAAAAAAAAAGTTGAGTAAAATATTTTTCTTCAGTGTTCTCTCTACCTACTGCCAGCTTTAAAAGAAAGTATATTTTTATTATTATATATAGATTAGTAAAATTTGGCATGCTGATATGTGTATATATATTGCTAGTCAAACAACAGGTAACTTTTCATCCTGGAAAAATGAACGGTTTTCGTGGGATAGATCTGTTTGTGCTTTTCTAGAGGTGAACCCGAGCGAAGCGAGGGTGAGCCCCTAGTATATAGATAAAATTTAATATTGGTCCCAAATTTTATGTTTTTTTTTAGATTTTCTCGAAATCGGTATACTCTATGTCAAAGAAAATTTTATAGGATCACCTTCATGGAATGTAATTTAAACTAACAAAATTGGTCAACCTTTTTATGAGCCATCGATCAATGTATTAAGCAAATAAACCGAGCATGAAGAAAAGAGAAGTATCAGTAAGTTTAATCGGCAAGTGAGCTCTTATGTAATACCTAATTGCAGAGTATATAGAATTACTAGCATTGCCCGCGACTCCACCCGCGTTCAGATGACCAAAGACCAAATTCTTAGGTTTTACACATTAGTATACTCTTACATTGGAGTTTTTGTATTTTTTCTCAGAAATGAGATATTTTCCAGCGGTAAAAAGTATCCTATATGTTGACCCGGATAACCAGCTATCATCATACCAAATTTAACCATAATCCCTCCAGTGGTTTTTCTGTGATGCGGTAACAGACAGGCAGACAGACAGACAGACAGACAGACAGACAGACAGACAGATAAACAGACAGACAAAATATTCTAAAAACTATAGATTCAACCTCTGTATCGATAATAATTTTTATTTGAATAAGATTTTCCAATAAAATTTTTAATGTACAGATTCGGCTTAGTTACAATTTTATTATATGTATAGGTATGACACTAGGTGTATGTCCAGTGGGATTTGTACTAACTTACACGTTCTAGTTTCAAAAATGACTACCTTCCATAGAAACTTTTATCAACCTTTTAACCATTTCAAGGAACAAATTTTCAAAAAATGATTTTTGAAAATGTCTAACGCCCACTTTCATTATATACTTATATAGGGTACAACGTACAAAAGAAGCAAAGAAACTTAAATTAAGTTACCCAGTTACTAGTGCATAACTTAAAGTATAGACCTCGAATGAAACTCGATGAAGAAAAGTAATTTCAATGATCACTAAAGCAATGCTATCATTAAATATTATGGTAAAATATTTACAAATTGAAATATTATGTATTATTTTATATTTAAATACAATAAAATTACAGATATAGTATAATGGGAAAGGACGACGACCGAACTTCGAAGTTGAAATAATGGAGTTATCTAATAGCGGTTTAATAGCATTGCAAAATGGAGCGCCGACTCTGGCTTTGTTTACGCTTGAGAGCTAAATGAAGCATCAGATCTTTTAAAGGAAAATGGAAAAACAAAACATTTAGCGTAGAATTGAAGTCCCATCATTTATTAAAGGGGGCATAAATTGCATGAGCTGATACAGCTGAGAACAATCACAATACCGTACACTCCAATGACCTTTATAATTAAAAAAAAATCGTTACAATAACTTGAGATATATATATATATATATATATATATATATATATATATATATACATATATATATATATATATAAGTATGGATAAGGTAGAATAAAACTGACTGTCAAAATATACATACATATTTTAACATCGAAAACGTACAATAATACATTGGTCTATATCTACGAGACGTGCCTAAAAACGTATTTCTGAAGATTTTCCGCTTTTGTGTACGGTGTTGTAGATAAGCACTTTGTATTCCAAGCTTACCGCTTCCTGGACCGGAACTTTCCTATTTTTGAAACCCTTTTTTGGTAACGTAGAGATTTCTTTGGCCTGAGACGTTTTATGTTAAAATTTCTTTTATATATTTCAGTGAATGTATAAAATACAAAATATTCAAAATTATATTTTATATTTTAACGTTTACTACTTTAGTTTTTTTACTATAGAAGTATAAAATCCATGTCATTCATTAAATTCAGATAATGAAATGAATACTACAAAATTCTAGCGATATCAAACACTAGGCAAAATATTTATAATACTTCGGAGATATGGTAATTTTTTCAAGTGGCTAAAACATAGATATGTATGTATGTCATATCCTACTGTTATATCTTATACAATAATATTACTTGTAGATACCACTCATACTGTATATAAAAATCAAGTTTATAGAATTAAAAAAAATGTATTTATTTGGATTTCATACAAACAACACAATTTTAAAATTATTGAAATACCTATTAAACAACAGCCAATGGTTATGTTTATAAATAATACAATATTATGAAATTAATGTGCCTAGTGCCTACACATAATTGTTATTATTAGACAAAATAAACATTTGCTATCTATAACTTTTATTTATCCTGTATATTTACAATCATTTAAATATCAGGGCATTGACCAATGAAAAATGATCTATATACATAATAACGACTAGATATATTATTCTCGTTAATTTTCAATTAACTATATCAATTCAAAACATCGATCAAAAAAGTACTAGATACACAATCAGCGACAAATAACGTCCTCATTGAATGAGCGCTCATTTGAACATTTGAGCGCGCTTTTAATTCCATTTTTTTGTAAAATCAAATTTAAGCGTTGCATTTAAAGTTCAATTTAGATTCTTGTATATTTATTTCAACTAGAATAATTACCTAAACACAATCAATGACAGTTTTAAGAGAACTTTTGCATGGGATTGCGTATCTAGTACTTTTTTGATCGATGATTCAAAAGCATAATTATAACAAAATATTATGCGTTTTGACTTGCTACAAAGCTCCTACATATAAATGCATATTTTTCAACCAAGGGGCTAGTTTAGTTTAGAAGAACCTATTTACCGATTTCTATTTACCGATAAAGTCTATTTACCGATTTCTAGAAAAAAGAGCTATGTTTGACTCGATTATTTTTATACACATTTCTGTTTTGCGGCTATATCGTGTCACTGCTACCATTTCTGGTCTATTGTGAACGCCACATGTTTTTCTACACATTCTATAATCACCGATTATTTTCATACGCCTTGACTAATCTGACTAGTTTAAATTGATAACATAGGGTGATCCCATGAGAGGTTATCCCATATTATGTTCTATACCATTTACGAGGAAACCCGAAAATGCCTATTACTTGCAATAATTGGTTGTTATAACTAATTCTGCTTTATTAATTTTAATTATTAAATTTTATACACTATGCTACGATACTTAATCAATTAAGCATTATTGTGAATGATGCAAGAAGTTTTCATCGTTTAAACGAGCCTTAAAATATTCTCTTTAATATCTGAAACTATACGGAAGTAAAACTTTGTATCGATCGATATGAATATAGGAAAGCAGAATAAAACAAAAAGTTTCAATCACTTTATTATACCTACCGATAAAGATGTCGATAATAAAGTAGCTACTTTTTAATATTACATTAGATTAACAGTATAATCGTATAAAAGTCTCAGTATAAAAGTCTACATTATGAATACTTTTGCACTAAATTTTACTGTTATTAAAATATATATAGAAAAATTTAGCAAATTCCGAAATATTAATATTTTTTGTTTTATCAAATTTCAAGATCAAGGATTATTATTTATTATCTATAATTAGCGGTTCCGACACAAAAATTACATGAATTAAATTAAAAAATTAGTGTAAAATATTCGTCACATAAAAACTGATGAAAAATTAATAAATTTCATCGAAGTTTATGAATGATGTTGCAGCTCTGAGAACAGAGACGGCTCTTGATTGCGACCGTTCTCTTTGCGGAGATGGAGAGGCAGTGGACGGTGCGGCCGAGCGTGGGGGAGCGGCGGGCTTATGTAGAGCTCGCGGGTCTAGAGACACTCGCCATTCACTGGCTAGTGCCTCTTGGAAGGTTATCTGAAATGTTTAAATAAACTTTATATAATAATGACCTACTGATCGTACCTTTGTTAACGGCTAAACTCAATGAGACTAGCCATCTGCGCGGTATAATTTATAGTCCACAAATACATAGTCTGGCTATAAATACTGTTACAATTAAAAATAAACAAAATATTACATTTGAATTTGGAATCTGTCATTTTTATATGATTGTTCATTGTGTTTTCTCATTTTCGCGCCAATACATTGTAAAATATTTTGTGACATTAAAATGGACTGGGGTGATAAACACAACCGAATCGCTGTGATTGCATTACACAAAGTAGCTATGGAGTCAAATACAATTTTTAAAACTCTGAATACGTACAAGTAGTATGTACATCTCGCGGCAAGGATGAAACGTGTATGTCTACGACTGCATAATACTATATTCCTTCATGAACTTGTTTAAATTTTTTTGTTAGTTATTATGCAGTCGGATTTTTTATTTTTATCATATACTTATTTATTTACAGATAACCCAGATGTTTTGTAGTAAACGAACTCGTAACTTGTACGTACTCGCGTCTAGTAAATACATACATATACACACAATATTACATTAATTGTGTTGTCTCATGGTGAATTATAAATACCTAGAGACCAGAAGTTTTATCTTAATTATAAAAGAATTTACGTATTGAATACGTAGATATTATCTAAGAGTAGAAAAACGTTAAGCTTCGTATGTTTTCATTTTATCCAAATTGAGCTGATGTGTTTTGACTAGATAAATATTTATGTGACGAAATTGATTACAGTATAACATTAAATTACAAACCAAAGTAATTAAAATGTGCCTACAATATATGTATCTATTATTCAAAATTATGTAAACATAAAATATTTGACTGCTACTAAATTATTTATATTGCGCAGCTATCAAATAGAAATAAAACACACCAAATTTAATTTTGTACAATTAATTACCCTCAGCCTCGCTAAAATGTAAACCAGATTCTCTAATTCCATTATCAGAATCATTGATATAGAAATTTTCTAACTCAACGCTTTTATGGACCGACACACTAAATATAGCAATTTGCTCAAACAAAGCATTATTTATGTAACTTTACACGAAAATAAGTCATTTAAGCGTATTATTAATACCTATATAGAATTATTCTATGTAAATAGTGAGGAGTTTGAAAAATTAAACAATAAAAGTATTCAAGAGACTTAAAAATCAGAAGCCGAGTGTCCTTTAGTAATTTTCTCATTATTAATTTTATAAGAAGCTTACTATTGATTGATTGATGAATGATTACTATGCGTGACCCTTTAAGTATTCTAATATCATTCATTCACCAACCTCCCTTTTGATAAGGATAAAATCCTTCTCCATAGAACATGCGATGATAAAAGGTAGCCTATTATCACTGTAAGTCTCAGAAAGCATGTTTAAACTGACATCGAATCCATTATTTTGTTTATATTTGTATTACAAACCAACAAACACATTGAAAAATAAATAAAACTAATTATTATTATATTGTCATGAGTGTGTACATTTATTGATATTATAATACCTTTTCCTTCACAGAAATCTCCTTAGCATGTAGAAGGAAGTCTATAACAGCTACGAAAAACCCTAGAACTCCACCGATCAATAGCACCAAAAATATTCCGCTAGTATTTTTCATTTGCAATGAACCGCTGTCATCTTCTTCTTGTTTCTTTTCTTTCTAAAAAAAAAAAGATTTATGCTTATTATTTATTTTTTAAAACTAATAAACTATTCTAATTAATAACAAAGACTGGCAAAAATTGCCACAAATTACGGATTTAATCATCATAAGATTGATATTTAATTATTATCGCAACAAATTATGAAAAAAAGAAATATAATAGATTAACTTTTCATATTTTAGGGTGCCGTATTTATAATATTATTTTGCCGTAATTTAGCAAGAAGCACCGTCTTATAGCACAAGTAAAGGAAAAAATCCGTAAACCGTAAATTTATTTTAATGTTTCATGCTACGGAACCCTCGTTGTACGAGTCAAACTCGCACTTGTTATTTTGTTTTATATTATTATTAAAACGAATCTTTATCTAAATGAAAAAAAATATATTTAACCTATAAACAATATAGGATTTTTTATTATATAGAACAGTCACTTTGATTAGAAGATAACACTTGCGCATGAACTTTTTTTTATATATTTTTTTATTTGACTAACTTCAAGCCTACAGTAACTATTGTTAAGCATTCTAAAGCGGATCCGTTGCTTGAATATACACGTAATAAATGTTACAATACTATAAGTACGGTAGGTATGTTGATACTCACTTGACATTTTCCGTCATTATCCCTTTCTTCCCACCATTTTCGTTTTAAATTTAACAAGGTCCCTTCTTGTTGAAGCGCGACTATTGCGATATCGATTGCTGTTTTATAAGGTGAATCTATAAACATCAACAAATTTAAAAAAAACATCAAATCATTTCTATATTGAGATATTTTAGCGGACTATTTTCATATATTTTTTTTCTTATACCTGACCTTCATAGCAAGTACCTTATAGATTTTGTTTCAAAACAATATATAAAAATCACCATAAACGTTGAACAGGGTATTTCTGTACCTTACACCGTATGGCAGAGGCAGAAACTGAAAAGCTTGATTACGATAATCATCATAATTATTAATTTATCGATTTTACAATTAGAAGTTGTTTTTTATTAGACAACTTATTGACCAAATCAAAACAAAAGTACAACGTTAGGCAAATTAATTCCACATACATTGTTTTCATTTCACTAAAAAAAAATTGTACTGTGATATGGCTTTAACGCAACCGTTTTTAAATAAATAGCTCAAAAAATAATCTACGAGTATAACATTAAATACTCACTTTTAGGCATAGCGATACCATAATCCTTTGAGTCTAACTTTGAACCGACCATTTTTAGATCACAATGTCTCTGCATGTAATACTCAATGGTTGTGGATTCCATGAAAAACGCGTATTTCCCTTTACTTTTCTGTACACGTTCTCGACCCTCGTCATTTGTACGAGTAAAAACAGTGGGCCTAGCAGATTTCATTACACTCCATAGCTTCTTGTACAGGGTGTCGTTTGTCGTCTAAGATATATTCAAAGATTCAAGAGTCTTAATGCTAAAAATCTGTCAAGTCGCTACTCGGATTTGCACACGAAAGGTTCCGCACCATACTAGTTTTTTTTTATTTGCATGGTAGCGGTTTTGAAATTCACCACGTTGGTGGATTTTTATGAATATATTGATATTTGTTAGTAAAATACACGTAATAATTAACGTTATCACTAAATTTCAAGTTCATAGTTCATGGGAAGTTTAAAAAATCTTCGCAACAAAATGTTATAAAAAAGCCAACTTTGGTGGCTTCTCATTCCTTTGTTTTCCAATATTTTTTAAAACACGAAATACAGTATATATCTACTCGACGAGTTCTAAACAACGATACCCCACCCGATGGGGTAGATCAAAATTTATAAAGTGAAAACTTCTATAGGCATGTTTGGATGGGGAGTAAAGTCATGTAAGTCGTCATCGACATGGTCACGTGAAGTTTTAACACTAATACGATAGATGTCAAAACAAGATAAATGTAAACAGTTTTAATTTACAAATTTTATAATACTTTCTTAGATTTACGCGAATGTTTGACATTTTTAAATAAAACTATCTTTTCGGATTATTTCGCGGATTTATTTTGATTTTTGGTTCCCGACGTTTCGAATGCTTTACAGCATCCATGGTCACGGGAGAGACTGAGGTGTTACATGTCTTAAAGATATAGTTGTTACAGACAGCCTACCCACAATTAACAAAATGAAAATTGCACCAATTACATTACAATATTTTTAACTTTAAACATTTTTTATAATTTTAATTATAATTGAATATGGAAAATTATTTATTTAATTTTTGCTATTATTTTTATAATTATTACAATTTTAAAAATATTAATTAGTAATCTATATTTAGTGTTGCCATTATTATATTTATAACCATAAATAAAAAATATAAAAATATAGTATTAATTATTAAAGCCATATAATTGTTCTATGTGTAATTTAAAAAAGTTAAAATTAATTACGGATAATCATTTTAATTTAGTTTGCTATTATTTAAAAACAACTTACTAAGCAACACTATTAATATATACTTTTACAAATGAAAAATATTAATCTGATAAGCTGTCATTTTGATCTACACAGTATGAACTTACTACATCTGCCTGTCTGTTATGTTTATAAAACCGATATCGCCCTAGAATGATTCGAGAAGCCATAGAAATTAAAAAACATCCAAATTTCAATAGGGAAGATGGCTGGGTACTACCATCGTCATGGGATCCTGTTATTAATATAATAAAATCAAATAATAAATATAAACATAACAGACAGGCAGATGTAGTAAGTTCATACTGTGTAGATCAAAATGACAGCTTATCAGATTAATATTTTTCATTTGTAAAAGTATATATTAATAGTGTTGCTTAGTAAGTTGTTTTTAAATAATAGCAAACTAAATTAAAATGATTATCCGTAATTAATTTTAACTTTTTTAAATTACACATAGAACAATTATATGGCTTTAATAATTAATACTATATTTTTATATTTTTTATTTATGGTTATAAATATAATAATGGCAACACTAAATATAGATTACTAATTAATATTTTTAAAATTGTAATAATTATAAAAATAATAGCAAAAATTAAATAAATAATTTTCCATATTCAATTATAATTAAAATTATAAAAAATGTTTAAAGTTAAAAATATTGTAATGTAATTGGTGCAATTTTCATTTTGTTAATTGTGGGTAGGCTGTCTGTAACAACTATATCTTTAAGACATGTAACACCTCAGTCTCTCCCGTGACCATGGATGCTGTAAAGCATTCGAAACGTCGGGAACCAAAAATCAAAATAAATCCGCGAAATAATCCGAAAAGATAGTTTTATTTAAAAATTACAAATTTTAATTTAAGATCAAACAATTAATTTGAATATCCAAAAATAACACCTCTTTGTTTATAGTTTTAAGTCATCACTTCTGTCGGTAGACCTCATAACTGGTTTTTTATATTTAAACATATGTACCACCCTCCCCGTTGGAGAGGCCTCTGGCGGACATTTTTTAAATTTTCAGAGGAAACAGGCTAATTGTTTATTCAATTCCAAATATATTAAAAACATATTTTGTGACTAAAAACCTCTAGGCACAATCTAAGTACTGTTAGAAGTTTTTGTGAAATATAAAAAAAAAATATAAATATAAAAAAGCTTTAGAAATATAGTGTTCGATTATCGCTCAAAAAATAAAACATAATAAATATACCTCAAAGAATTTATAAGTCGAATCATTATAAAGTGCTCCATAGCTTATAGCGTTTTGATCAGCGAGTTCCTTTACGTCAGTAATTTCATTACTCCGTCGGCTTTCACTGAGGAAGGTAGACATGTTGGCGGTGTAGGATGCAGTCACAATAAGAGCAAAAAACCACCACATGCCAGTAACCCATCGGGAACCTATAGCTCTAATTAAAAAAATACATTTAAATTAACAATATCAAGTCTATGGTACAAAACATTGTAAAAATAAAATTAAAAAAAAAAGTTTTTTTTTTCAAATAGCTATGCTTAAACTTGATTTGATTCACACTTCACAATTGAAATTATGTAACTTAAATATTCACGAACATTAAAATGTACGTTTATTAGTAGTACCTGGACCACCGAGCTTCGCTCGGAGTTTTTGGTTAAAAAGTACAATTTTCTTTAAAAAAAACTAAAAACTTGAATAAATACAAAAAAAAACAAAAACAAATTATACCTTTGTATCCGACCGGGATTTGAACCCGGACACCTATGATTGTCAATCTTGCATCTTTTTAAAAAAAACTAAAAACTTGAATAAAGATTAAAAAGAAAATAACAGTAAAAACGTTGTATGCGACCGAGATTCGAACCTGGACTCCAGTGATTGTGGATCTTGCACCTTGGCCGCTTGACCACGTTGCTTATTTCCGAGCGTGCAAATTTCCGACCATATTTTGCATGGAATAATGCAAAAGAAAACCGCATGAAAATTCGAAAACACGCGTTTTCTCAGACATAAAACAAATCTAGATAGATTTATCGCCCCCGAAACCCATTACTTATTTCATGAAAATCATTGGAACCGTTTCCGAGATTCAGATTATATATATTTATATATAATCACACACACACATATATATATACATATATATATATATATATATATATATATATATATATATGTGTGTGTGTGTGTGTTTTACGGCATAATTCGGAAATAATATCAGATAAGAACCATCCGATATTAATCTGATAATCCCTCAACGACCGCGGAGACGCCGGCGTTACAGTTAACAATAGATTTCTTAGAAAATTAATTAATTTCTTAGAAATTTACCTGGAGGTGGTAATCTCTGAAATGTTATTAATTTTGGTTTTACACGACATAAAATAACAACTGATTTTACCTTGGTAGTATATCACAACCCTGGGTCATGATTGCACCCATGGTAAGCCACATGCAATTGTAGAGACTCCATATATTTTGCAAGTTCTCTGGGTTTTGATTACAAGGATGCGGATTCACCCAATCTCCTGGACTCATACTGCGAGACAATAATAGGAATAAGATCATGTCAGTCTCGAACCAAACAAAAGTATACTGTTATTCAGGCTAGTATGCATAGATTTACAAGAATATTTGACATTTTAAATAAAACTATTTTTTCAGGTTTTTTTCGCAGGCTTACTTTCCCAAAGATCTGAAGACAAAACGCACTTTCTCTCGTAACCATGGTTGCTGTAAAGTATTCAAAACTAACAAATCCGAAAAGATAGTTTTACATAAAGTACTTATAATTTGCTAAAACGGTTAAGAATTGTACTTTTGTTGTTTGTAATATATGTTTAAAACCAAAGTAAGATTATATAGCTTCTGCATATATCCTCGCACATATAAAATTATTGATTTGGATTTGAATTAAAGAGTTCGTTCCGGATAGCATACCAGCATTAGTACATATATATACGAGAAGTACGCACTTACAAAGCCTTACATAAGAAAAACAATGTCAAATTAATAAAGCAACAGCGTCAAGCTTTAGTGGCTCGCTATTTATATAATGCTATTTACTAGCATTGCCCGCAGCGCCGCCCGCGTTCAGACGACAGAAAACTAAATTCTTAGGTTATACATATATACTAGTTTCATTGCCCACCGCAAGCTTGAAAAAATATGGTAGTAATTGGCAATGCACAAAGTCCTTTAATCTTCAATCTCATATTTAATTTCGTAATATTGCATTTTTCACTTTAACAAAATAGTATGTCTTTACATCTGATATTATAAAAAGGAAAAAAATATTTATTTGTTGGGGATAAATACCAGACTACTGAAGTTATTTTAATAATTCTTTTACTAATAGATAGCCAGTCATATCAAAAAACAAACTTTTAGATTTTACTTGTTTAAGAATATATTTAAGCTCACAAAGAAGCTTTAAATCATCAATTCCAAGTTAATACAAAACTTACCGAGCACAAATCAATAATACAAATGAAACAATAATATACGTAGTTGCTAAATACAGCCAGACGTCTAAAGACAATGGCTTTATAAACGAAAACATGTCTGGCTCTTCTGCTTCCGGTTCTTTAGTCAGCAAACTGATGCCTAAGGACATGAAGGGCGTCGAGAAGTCAATCACTGCGTTGCGCTCCGACGTGATTGTAATATCGCATATTGCCAATTCCGCTTTCTGTAAGATAAAGTTATAGTTTAATCTTCCCAATCCTTAGTAATATTATTTTTGATTATAACTTATAAGTCAAGTAAATAATTGGGTTTTAAGGTCTAGTATAGATTTCTCAGAGATAAAATGTTTTTGTTAACCCGGATAACCAGCTATCATCATACCAAATTTCATCAAAATCTGTCGAGTGGTTTTCTCGTCATTCGTTCCTAGACAGACAGACAAAATTTCTAAAGATTTGGCCTCGGTATCGATAATAATGACTATCTCGATAAAATTTTCCAAAAAATATTAAATGTACAAATTAGAATATTATAGATATAATAGATAAAGTTGTCGTTATCATAAATAAATTAAATGTTATTATTATCTGACATTTGTAAAACAAAGCAAATATTTGTTATTTCTACGTATGCCTTTCTAAGTCACGTAAACGATTGCAATGACATGCAATAAAATGTTATTATGTAAACGTACGCGTAAGTTTCGGATATGATACGATGTCAAACAAATTTAAAGTGTGCTTTGGGTACTTTATAACATGTTATTTATGCTATTGATACTCTACATAAAAATTTTGTCTAGCAATGATAAAAGTTATTCGTATGTGTACCCAGTGAAACCAGTTTAAGACAAACCATAACGATAAAAACTTGTGTAATTAATATAACAAGATAATATAATATAAGTACAAGATTAAAAATATTTCATAAGATTACATGTTCCAACAATTCTCCAATTAGACCATCCCATTTTTTGGTCCCCGCAATTGGATTTCCATAGTCTTCAACTCGATAGAATTCATACTCATATTTTTCATGTCTTTCTTTTTCTATATATTCAAATATAGCCTGTATCAAATCCACTGCATAACCTTCGTATGTTGCTGTTCCGTTTTTAAACACTTGCATATCAAAATAAGGTTTTCCTTGAATGGACGCTATCTAAAATGGTAAGTCAAACAAATAATAGAAATAATAAACATAATTTATTACATCATATTTTGTATTTTGTTTCATCAGTACTTAGTTTAATACAACTATGAATAGGTATTTACTAAAATTCACAAAGTTATCTTACCCTTATTAAAGATTTAGGTGTGCGAGCTTGAGAACGTTCAGTCACTACTCTTTCATCCAGTATTGTGTCGGTTTTAGAATTCCAGTAACCAACGTTAATAAACTGACTTTCATAACTCAACTTTGAGTAATACAGTATAAAGTATCTCCTTTTTCTAAATTTGTCAAACGAAATATTTCCCGTAAAACCAGAGTATTCCGTCTGTAACATACAGTAATTAAATATACATTCACTAGCGATTCACCCTCGCTTCACTTGGGTTCGTCCCTAAGTACGTTGAGCTTTTGTTTCCAATAGAAACTTTCAAATCCTCTTTTTAACATTGGGAAATGCATTTATGCATACCACCTGCTTACGTACAGGTGGTTATGTGGGACTAACCGGCAGAGCCAGCACTACCCACTTAAGCCCAACGGAACTTCCCCTGTCTTAATGGAACGTCGCAGGATCGCTTACGCAATCAACCACGACGCCCCGAAGGTAGGTCTGCCACACAGGTCACAGATCAGCAGACCACAACAACCATGGGATTACTCCAACAGTCCTCTCTGTTATCAAAGAAGTACCAGGAGAAACCCGTATGGCACTCCGCTCGAGGTGGCGGCCACACCGTGCGTTTCTTGGCTTCGCGCCCGGCTAGACTTTCACACGCCTCCCACCACGAACAGTATCAACTCCTATTTCATCCCTTTCAAGTTTCAATTTTGCCAAAAAAATATATCTTATGTCCTTCTCCAAGGCACCATCTCTCTCTATACTAAGCTATCGAAACTAGCTAAATATATTTAAGAAATATAAATAATATAGAGAATTTGTAACAAGTGATCGTTAAAGCTAAAAAAACCAGTCATTAGAACTGCTGACATAAGTGAAAACTTAAAACTATAAACAAACAGTTGTTATTTTTGGATATGAAAATTAATTGTTTGATCTAAAATTAAAAAATATAAGTTTAAAATGGTTTACATTTATCTTTTGACATCTATCGGCACACTGAGTGTTAGCGTTAACATGCCACGTGACCATGTCGATGACGACTTACATGAATTTATTCCCCATCCAAACCTGCCTATAGAAGTTTTCATTTCAATAATGCTAAACTTATTTATATCTACAGTAGAGACTGTCGTGAAGCAGTGTGGTAACTCAGATGACTACTACTGCAAACAGCCGGATAAACTCTCAAAAAGAGTGAATGTTCTATATTTGTAGCTGCTTAAGCAAAGCGTAAGCTGTCTGAATTCTAGTAGAAAGGGAAGGACAGAGCATTTATCTTATTTAGGACTATGCCACTTATAATTATGTATTTATTTAAAGATTAAGATTTAGATTTATTTAAAAATAATAAATATACACGGGTGTCGATAACAATTATCCATGTTTGGAGATTTTATTAAAATTTTCGTAACATACGCTTGGTTACCTTTATCAATGCTTCATTTAGATCACGTCCCATGTCCCAAACGCTGTACTCTGTCTCAGGGTCGTCTGAATTTTTGAGACATAACGGTGGAGGATTGGGTAACCGTTTTATATTATTTATATCTATACTTGATATAGATTTCTCTAAATGACTCAAAGCGTCTGCAGCTAATGCTGTTTCAAGCTGCAAGGGAAGCCATTCAATTATTTATACTTTTTATAAAGTACATATATATATTTTACTACTACCTCGTAATATATTTATAACTAGCTTGTACCTGTCCCTAAACATAAGCCATTTTGAACGCGTGGATAGATCGACTATTATTATATGACAACTACGACCTCATTACTGAACAGATATAAAAACATACATTCGTTTGTTTGTAATATAAATCTGTAAATACAGGCCTGGCTAAAGAACATGTTTTATATACAATCGAAGTATAATTTAGAAGAGAGAGAAAAGAAAATTAAATTAGCCAAACCATAATACTATATAAATACCCGTATGCCATAGTTTCCCACGTCCATGTTTATATCTTTCCAACCTATATCATCCGATTTCGTCATGTGCAGTGTAGAAACATTCGCCCTCAAATCAACAATCTCTTTTAAATCTACCATATAAGAATCGAGATTGGTTAATATGAAACTCTGTAATACAAAAAAAATCTTTATTCATATATTATAATGTTTCCTATCTGTTTATCATCATATAATTTGGGCTCGTCGTATCAGAGTTTTAAAAAAAATATTTTCTGCAAAGGGCAGATAAATTATGTCTACTAGGATTTCTTAACTATATAATATAACTTACATAATAAACCTATTTAGATGTTTATCACAAAATTTTGTTATGTCTTAGCACTTAATTAACGCTACGTAAGTCGCACTGTCGTCTTCACGAAGGGATTTTGCCATAACATATCTGGTATACATAATTATTCGTTAGTTCATATGTATGTTAGTATAATATATAATGTGATATATATTTAACTAAGTCAGTTACTTTTTATGGTAATCTGTTATGGTATTCAGTGACAAACGAGCAGACAGCCCCCTAATGGAAAGCGGTACCTGTCGTCCATAACACCTACAGTTCATGTACTTGGGTTTTATGTAATAAAAATACAGAACCGCAAGTGCCTTGTCACTGTGAGGACTAAGATGATATGCCTCTTGCCTGTGACTGTGCTGGCTACCTTATCCTTCAAACTGAAACACAACAATGTAATCATTGTTGCTTGGCGGGAGAATAGATAAGGGGGTTGTACCCATCCAGTCGGACTCCTCAGGCTTGACAGAGTCCTACCACCGGTATAATTCAAAATTGCACTAAGATAATAATAAATCATGCGTACCACTCATAGAAAATTTATGATAACCTGAAGGAATCAAATGTTTTCATTACATGCCGAAATATTAGTGTAGAACTTGCAAAAGGCACAGATGGTTAAAAAAATATTTGAGCGTAGTTAAAAAAAAATTGAGGGCTTGCTATTTCAAAATCCATTCCAATACAAAAATAGATCCTTGTAGCACCTTCATAACACAACATTTTAATTTCTGTTGTGTAATTATTACTTATTTTTAATGATTAAGTCTATTTTTTAAAAGAATAAAATGTAAATGCCCAACATTGGTCCTATTTAAAATAACAAATTTTTAACTTACTTGATATTGAGTTGAATTATCAACTTGAATAATTTCTTTCATATATTTATGTATATTCCATGTATCACAATCCAAAATATGGTGGCTCATGTGAGCTACCTTAAAAACGTATTTAAAAGTTTCGCGGTTGTCACCCAACGGATCTAACTGCTTGTATAAAATTTGCTCTTGTTTATATGGCCATGAATGTATCACTTCTTGAAGACGGATAAAACCTACAGTAAGAATCATAAGATAAGAATTATTTTAGTATACACACACACACACACATATATATATATATATATATATATATGTGTGTGTGTGTGTGTGTGTGTGTAAAAAAATAGATGTGTATACGTATGTTCCCTGTGAACTCAAAAACGGTTAACTCGCTTTTGATGAAATTTTCAGGCTATCTTCAGATTAGTCCAGCGGTAATATTAAACGCAGGCCGAGCCGCGACCAATGCTAGTATTATATAAAAGCGATCATTCAAAATTACCAGTTAGTATGTAGCTATTTATAGCTGACTCACAAACATTGTCCGGCAAGGCTCATTTTCTTTGCAATCTTCGAATTCAATCAAAAATCCTACCAAAAAAACATTTTCAGCTGTTCCTGATTTCCCCAATTTTCCATGCAACTTATCTAATTTCTCCTTCTAAAGACCTTATTTGGTCTATTACAAACATCATTATTACAACAAAAAAATCAGCAAAATCGTTCCAGCCGTTCAAATGATGCGTTTACCATCGACCTATTTCATTTATATATAGAGTTAGACGAGCATTTGCGATGAAACATAATAGTCGTGTATCCGAAAGACATGATTTATTTATAATACATATTTTATATACAATTTTATTTTGTACTAGCTTTGCCCGCGGCTCCGCACGCGTTCACATGACCAAACACCAGCGGACAATATTTTAAGATATGAATATCTAATAGATAAATATGTATTTTACGTTTCAAAATATATTAGATTTCCTATGCGTCGGCTGGCACCGACTTCGAAAATATCTGATTAGGTATCTATTCTAAATGAAAACTCCCGTTTAGTTATTTTTTACATTTTAGTGCCTGGAAGTCGGTTTTTTTTTAGTTTTTATTACGGTTGATAAAATGAGTCGATATTGTGAAAACGTAAATATTATTCGTATTTATTTTAGTGTTAACCTAACAAAATACGTAAGTAAGTAAAAAAACACAGTATTTTTCTATACGGAACCTGTAATGCACAGGTTGGACTTGCATGTTATACCTTGCAATAAAAATTTACAAATATTTTAATTTAAAAATTTTTTCGGCCAACAAAATATTACTAATATGTATGATAAGTATGTCACTAATTTATAAAGCCCAAAAGTTTATTTTATTGGTCATGAAACACGGGCGGGGTCGCGGATAATTTAGTAGTAATTCTAATAAAATCATAGAAAGATTATATCTATCTGTACATTCAATATTTTGAAATTAAATCTACATATTTTAAATTTAAAAACACATGGCGACATCTATTGACGCATATCTAAATAACACATTAATAAATATTTTTGGAGTTATTCTAATGAATAAAATAACGCTGTTGATAATATTGTTTCAAGACTATAACTATTTTAAATAGTTTTTTGCCATATTTCGTAAGTTAACTTGCTAAAGTTTTTAAAGTAACGTCGTGGTTTCATTCCAACCAGTTTTAGTACATTTTCTCAGAAATAAAATATTTTCCCAAAGAAAAATCCTACATGTTGTGCCGGATAACCAGCTATCATCGTACCAAATTTTGTCAAAATCTCTCCAGTGGTTTTTCCGTGATGCAGTCACAGATAGACAGACAGACAAAAAATCTAAAAAACTATAGGTTCGGCCTCTACATCGATAATGATGTTTATTTCAATAAGATTTTCTAAAAAAAAAACATTTAAGGTAAAGATTCGGCTTAGTTACAATTTTATTATATGTATATAGATACAATTTGTTTTATATACAATTACTCACTGCCATCGTCTTCGTAGAAAAATGTGAATTTTTCCCATTGAAGTTTTTTGATAAGAGTTGCATAGGCTTTTGAAACCAGTTCTGGTGGAGGGTAATACGAAAACGTAAACAAATTCTTCTCTAACGTTACTGGTAGTTCCCATCCTAGCATTAAATGAGGTATCTATAAAATGAAATCTAGATACTTTACAATGTCATAAGATGTATAAATTAAAATACTTTTGTTAATTTTTTTTATTAAAGTAATTTTAAATTTTTATACACTTACTTGAAGTCGGTTGCACAATAAGCAAGTAATGTCACAAATTCCATTAGTTGGCCTTGCATCCACCAAGGCGACTATGCCTTTGTCATTAGAAGTAAGTTTACATACTGAAAGTATTCAAAAAATATAAAAATATAGCTGTAGTTATTTCACACACTATAAAAAATACTTACTCTCGAGAGCAGTAGAATAACTATCAACAACTTCTGAGTGAAATGACCTTCCATGATAGGGCTTTGTAGAACTGGAGTTCAATTTGTTTTCGAAAGCTATTTCCGTAGCTGCCAAAAATTTTGAGTTAAAAAGGCCTGCTGGAATATTAAAAAAAACTTTTAAAGTCACAAATCCGAACTATGCATATTTTAGTTTTGTTTGTTGTTTTGAGTTTCTCGCCGGTTCTTCTCAGCAATATTGCCCTTCCGAGCTGGTGGTAAATTCCTCACGGACTGACTACACTGACATTTAATTAAAATTTAAAATGTAAAATTGACGATTCAAGAGTGCTTGTAAAAGTCTATTTGAATAAAGTATATTTTGATTTGGTATGATATGAAACGTATAACGAACCTATAGGAAATTGTACACTAAGAGCTCCATCACTCCATGGCCAGTTAAATGCAAATATGACGAGAAATACTTTCACGAGTAGCATGGTGATAAACTTTAAAAACAAATCTAATCACAAATGCCACTTTTGTTTAGACGGCATGCGGTATGGAAGCCATCACTTCGCCGTCTGAGATATTTTTGGAAAACAGTTATAGGTCACATCGACTGAAAACAACATGAGATAGAATCATCATGATTGTCGCCATGATTCAAGAATAAATGTCTTAAAGAGAATGTAGAGCGCATTGCATTTTCTTTTACTTTTAACTGTTTATTATGAGCTAAAATATTTAAATAACTAATTTTCAATTGAAAGTAAAAACTGTTGCTTAATACGAGTACGTTATCCAAGTACTTATCATAACTATAAACTTGAAATTCATTAAAATGGCGTGCCAACTTTGCTTTAAATGTTTTAGTGAGTTTTGTGATATGTTATTTATTTAAAAATGAGGTGGTTTACAATAATATTATTTTGTTATTTGATGAAGTATACAAGTTTGCAAATGCTGATGACGGGAACAATAGAAATTGTCTATCAAATAGGTAATATAATTCACGTGTAACAAAATGCTTGCTATTTAACTTTATTGAGTATAAAAAAGACATACAGAAATTTAATACAACTTTAACTCTATTTATATAAAAATCGATGTGTGTATGTATATTCCTATGTTATGTAATGGACTCCAAAACGGCTGGAGCCATTTTGATGAATTTTTTAGGCAATCTTTAAATTAGCCCAGCGGGTGATCCTATGAAGTTTGGCAGCGATAGGAAGCTTGAACTCAAGCGCAGCCACAGGTACTACTAGTCCTTAATAAAGTAATAAAAATAGTAAAAGTGTATCAAATTTTAAAAAATGACCTAATAACAAAATCCATACTTCCCATACTTAATATTATAAATGTGAACGTGTGTCTGTTCGTTTGTCTTTCTTTCACGTCGAAACGGAGTGACGGATTGGCGTGATTTTTTTTGTGGGAGATAGTTGGAGGGAGAGTGACATAGGCTTCTCTTTACCGCGGGATATTATCTACGGGAAAACACATTATAATACAACTCAAAAAAATATTTATGATCAGAATTACTTAAAACTTGGTATTATTGCTCTTCAATACAATCAAATAAATATGTGTTTCAGCATTTTACAGATAATTTAACAGGATAATTTTCGATTAAAAATTAGTGTGTTTTTTGATATTAAGTCAAAATAAGGTAAAAAAATAAATATTTTAAATCAAAAAATGACAGTGGGACATATTTTGTTGAATACAGTATATTCTATATTAAAAACAATATAGGATCATCTCGGATTCTACCTTAATAAACTATAATTTAACCTAAGAAAATCGGTCAAGGCGTTCAAATCGGTCAAAAAAACATACAGACGAACATAGAGCCGCCTCCGTTTTGGAAGTCGGTTAGAAATAATTGATTGCAGTTCGAAATCGGTGCCAGCCCAAACAAAGCAAAGCACACCGGCTTCGAAAATATTTAATTAGGTATGTATAGTAAATGAAAACTACCAATCAGTTATTTTTTACTTTTTAGTGCTTTTGTTTGAAGTCGGTTTTTATTTTTTTGTTAAAATGTTTTTATTTTTCCCTTTTTAGTGTAGACAGTAGTAGCAAAGGAAGATTTCTAACGTGTTAGGCTTGTCAAATCAAACAAAATAAGCCCAAACTCAAAGTATCTACTATTAGCCGTTGAATAGTTCCACCTATCCACCTTCTGGCCTTACCATCAGATCAGGTCAATAATACCGAACCACTGTACTATCAACGGAAATCGAAACACTTGCAAAGTTTCAAGTCAATATGACAATTAGAAGTAGATTAATTTCATCATTAGCTATTTTTCCACCCTTAAGGGTGGTATTTTTTTTTAATTTAAATGGGACCAATCTGGAAGTATACACTTTCAAACAACACAAAAATTGTCCAAATCGGTTAATAAATGACGGAGTTCTGAGGTAACAAACATAAAAAAAAAAAACAGTCGTATTGAGAACCTCCTCCTTTTTGAAGTCGGTTGAAAAGGACGAATTTCTACAAATATTTTGAGCCCCCATTTCACCCCTTCGAAGTTGAATTTACATAAAAGCTAACATTCGCCACTCGTGTTTATAAACGAAAAGCTTATGACTAATTTCCATACTTCTACTTTCAAAAACGATGGATTTCCATAAAAATGTTCAACCACCATTTTACACCTTTAAGGATCAAATTTTTAAAAACGCTAAAACATGTCTTTTTTATTGGTAGAATTTACAAAAATCCTTACTTAGTGCTCGCCTACATTATAAAGAAAGCCTTGTGCAAAAGTAATTTTATTACATAATACTATTTGATTTAAAAGCTTCTCGCGAGAATAAGCTTTGACATACTACCTTTTTCTTATAAATTAACCTATTTCTTATAAATTTTTACACAGTAAAATTTCGCGACAAGCTTTTATATCAAACTAGTGACTTACGCTCGCTTCGCTCGGGTGCGTCCCTAACGCGTAACATTGCTACATTCATAGTTGCAATAGATATTTTTAAAAGGCAAATTTCCATAATAAATTGTTTACATATAACTCTATTGGTTTACACGGCACGCCAATAAAGCTTGAAGTTGGCATGATGTTTTCCGACATCTTCAACATTCATCATCATATTTCAACCAATTTACACAAAACCTTAATGAATTATACACATTTAAAACTTCCTTATGGCCCACTCTGTTCATTGGCGAATACCGCATGAAAATTAATTCGGTAGTTCTTGATCTTATCGCGTTCAGACAGACAGACAGACGCGGTGGGAGAACTTTATTTTAAAATATGTAGTGATTTTGTACAAGTAACATAATGATAGGTTTTATTTTTGTCGAGGTTTATTTTCTTATATTTAGTGCAATAAAATATATGTATGCTTTTTATTTATTTTTTATTTTTTCCATTAATTTTATTTGCAAAATTTCAATTTTAAGAATGAACTTTATAATAAAGCTATGTTTACTTCTAAATTACTTTTTATCTATAATAAGCAGTTCCCAATCAAAAGGTAGATCAATATATTAATGTAAAATATTCGTCACACAAAAACTGATGAAAAATTAATAAATTTCATCAAAGTTTATGAATGATGTTGCAGCTCTGAGAACAGAGACGGCTCTTGATTGCGACCGTTCTCTTTGCGGAGATGGAGAGGCAGTGGACGGTGCGGCCGAGCGTGGGGGAGCGGCAGGCTTATGTAGAGCTCGCGGGTCTAGAGACACTCGCCATTCACTGGCTAGTGCCTCTTGGAAGGTTATCTGAAATATTTTAATAAATGTACCTTAGTTAACGGCTAGACTCAATGAGACTATCTGCGCAGAAGACGGTTTAGTCGTCAAATATATACGAGTACTTTATTTCCTAATCTCAAAGCTCGGTGTAATGCATGATTTTGACAGCACGTTTGTCTCATTTTGTAGTGGTGACCTTATTTGCTGTGGGAGCGGTCTCGGGTTGGAGTCCCGCTGGGGGAATTCGTATGTGTGATATGCACGAATGTTTGTACCCCAGTCATGGGTTTATATTTATAATATATACCTATGTATTTAAAGTTATATATGTGTAGTGTATCAACTATCTGGTATCCATAACACAAGCCTCGTAGCTTACCATGGAACTAGATGGCGCGGTGTGTTATGTTATGTCCTAACATATTAATATGATGGCTCAACGAATAAGAGACCAAAAAACTTTACTCTCAGAAAATGATTTAACAAGTTAAGTCTTAATGTAGTCTTTACCATTTCCAAGATTGCTTTACTCTTTGTAAGTACTCGCGTCTAATAAACATTAAGTGTGTATTCTTATTTATGTGAATTATAAATATTCTTTATAGTAAACAAAGATTCTAGCCAGAAATTGTATTTAATATATAAATAAATTATTCGTATTGAATACTTAAATATATTATCTAAGAGTATAAAAACGTTAGTTTTCTTTTTATCCAAACTAAACTGATGTGTTTTTGATTAAATAAATATTTATGTGACAAGATTGATTATAGTATTAATTGCATTAATTTCCAAATAAAAGTAATTAAAATTTATCTGTAATGTATCGCTTTTTCCAATTTATGTAAACGTAAAACTGGCACGCATTAGAAACAATTGAATTGTAAGCGTGAAACTTTGACGGCAACTAAACAATTTATATTGCGCATATAGCAAATAGGAATAAAATACAGCTTCCTACTACTATTTATTTCTCTTGCAAAAATGAAAAACAGATTTTCTAATGTTATTATTAGAATCATTGATTATAATAGCAATTTTCTAACTCAACGGTTCGAAATAACCGTAAACCGACACAATAAATATAGAAATTTACTCAAACCAGTCAAGCTTAATAAATGGTATATTAGTACAAATAAGTCATTCAAACGGATTATTAATACCTACATAGAATTACTTGATACAAAAAATTTTGTATTTCACAATTACTAATAGTACCTATTCAAAAGACTCTTAAAAATCGGAAGCCGCGTGTCCTTTAGGAACACGTTAGTTCGCACTGTTATACGATTATATAAGACACATATAACTGATATAAAATGATAATTAACCCTTGAAATATTCTAATACCATTCAGCAACTTTCTTTTTGGATCAGGACAAAATCCTTCTTCGTGCAACATGCGATGATAAAAGGTAGGCTTTTATCACTCTAAGCCCCAGAAAATAAGTTTAAGCAAACATCGAATCCGTCATTTTGTTTACATTTATGCATAATAAACTAACAAAAACATTGAAAAAGGATAGTAAATATAACTAAATATCGTATTGTTATGAGTGTGTATATTTAATGATATTATAGTACCTTTTCCTTCACAGAAATCTCCTTAGCATGTAGAAGGAAGTCTATAACAGCTACGAAAAACCCTAGAACTCCACCGATCAATAGCACCAAAAATATTCCGCTAGTATTTTTCATTTGCAATGAACCGCTGTCATCTTCTTCTTGTTTCTTTTCTTTCTAAAAAAAGACGAAATTTAACCTTCTT